GGGGCGGGGTGTGTGGCCTTATGACACACTTCCCATGATGTCAGGGGGTGTGGCCTTATGACACATTTCCGGTGATGTCAGGGGGTGTGGCATATGCTAATGAGTTATGCTAATGAGTTCCCCTAGCTCTTTTTCTACGAAATGACCCCTGACGATAATCTTTTACAAATAATGTGCTGTTGCAATCTGCACAGGGGGAAATTCATTCAAAACTCCTTTTCTAGGTAGTAATTGATTCATGCCCCTTTCATTGTTGCCATGCAGAGGAGGACCAAAAGGATTTGGAAATAATTGGTAAGGTTTCTTACCCCCCCAAAAAAAACACCCCTTGTTTTTACCGTTAGAATGACTTCTGTTTGCTGCTTAACAAAAACAGTCATTTTTTAATCCTGCAAGCAGCCAATATTCTGCAGTATTTGTGAAGGCCTTTAATGAAGCAACAGAATTAGGAAGATATTTAAAAATAGAAGAGTCTCATAGTGGGTATACCTTACTTTTTGAAGCTAATTAGATCCAGAACTACATGCATAGACATTTTATGCCTGATCGAAAGCCCCTGATGTATATACATCTTAGCATACTATGTACATGTATTTATTATGATGAGAAGACATGAATGAGTATCAATAAAGATGAAATTAGTGGGAGATCCCCACATTAGGAATTGGTGGAATGTGGTATGAATTTGTAACTGCAAAACCTGATCAATTAAAAGACCTAAATACATGTGCGAAAATGTTCATATGTGAACTTGTACATGGGAAAATGCAAATATTGCAGTAAACAAGTTGAATTGTTTCTTTTCTGTAGAGATGAAACTAACATTTAGCTAGTAAAAATAACAGGGTAAAAAGTGACACTGAGAGAAGTTCTTATATAATAAAGCTCGGCAGAGGGTGGGCAGCTGGAAGGAAGTTGCCTTCTGTACATTCCTTTTACTGCAACAGAGGTGCTGTTCAAGCAAACGCAACCTCACTAAGGCTGAGTATCTGAAGTCTAATCCTAATGCTTTGTGCGACTGGAATAATAAGTGGGATCTTAGACTGTTTTCTTGCTGGCTGGTCAGAGTGGAGCAGAGTGCGCAAAATAAAAGCAGTCTTACAAGTGAAGCCAGATGTCGGACTATATATTTTCATTGTGTGCCCTGGCCTCTGTCTGCCCTAAAGTATTAACTTAAACTAGACTAGTCTCCAAGGTAATGCTTATGCTTAAGATCTTTATGAGTTCTATAGGTAATACCTAAGAGAGTTAAAACTAGTTGGCATGCTCATATGGAAATTTCTCCGATCTTGGACTTTAGAGAGACATTTACAGACTGGAACTGCAGAAGCCCATGAGCACACAGGATGGGCAATTCATACTTCGTAGTAGCCCTTTCTGCTGAGATTTCTCTGATCATTTGCTGGCAGCCACCAGGAAGGCACAACTGAAAAATTCCTGTATGTGACTGGTGTTTTAGATTCAACTTCAAATAGCATTTTTGTGAATTACGATAAAGCAAGAAAACTATTTAGAGAAACAAGAGGCACAGGTGCTTATCATTTATGTAAAGGGTTTCTGCTGCCAAATTTGATTTCTAAACAATTCACTCCATTGAAAAGTTAAATACAGTCAGCCATAACAGGGATGAGAAGAACGATAATCAGAGTTCATTTCAGGGGGGGGGGGAACGCGGGGGAACGCAGTTCCCCCGAGGGGAGTTACGGGGGGGGGGGG